TCAAATTTTTGTTCCGAAGTTATATTATATGTCCAAAACCTTAAAAATATTTGTGGACAAGAAACCAAGCATGAGGTACCTAAACATCATGCATAGTTTATCAATTTATTTGTTGTTATTAGCACTTGAGGATCATCTTAAGAGGTCTAACTTTATACAGAGTCGTAGTCAAGCTTTTTATACATTGGTCAGTTCTTTTGTACTTAATCGATGTGGGATTTTGCCCTTGGCATGTCCCGCAAGATAATTGTTCCTATGAACACATTAATCTTGAAATCCGAAAAGCTCATTTTAGCTTAAGAGATATGAAATCATCAATATTGTTAAGTATAGTTACCAAAAACCTTGTATGTTCGTTATTTATTTCATTTGCAACTGATCAATTGATATGACATTTAACCCTTAACTACCACAAAAGATGCCAGTTTGAGCTTTAGGCAAACAAAATTATTTGTTTTGATTAATAGACTTTGATACCATATTTCGCTGCTGTTGTGGCTCCATTAAAATTTAATTCATTTTTCTTTTTCTTCTTACAATCACACAATCTCCAATAAAATATTATTATACGTAAACTTAGATTTTTCTTTTCTTTATTTTAACCACACATTCTCTAAAAGTTTATTATTCCAAAATGTATTTTTCCCAAAACTTCATTAAAATGGAGCCCAGACAAGGATTAAAACTTGCACGTTCCATCTTAAAATATCAATCTTGTTAAAAGAAGTAATTCAAACCTTTATATGTTGTGATTTTACCCTTAAAACAATTACTTAACTATACAAGGCATTTCAAATTCTTGCACATTAATATCTAGCTTAAGCTAAAAAAGTAAAATTACTTTTAGATTACCTTTTGTCTATTTGAATAACTTTTTTTCTTATTTTGAGTAAGAAAGTTACTTATTTTAAAACATTCACTTTAAAAAATGTTTAACTTAGAATTACTTGTTTAATTAAGACAACTTGCTTCAGCTTATAGCCAAACACATTGTAGCTGTCTTGGTCTGTTGTTCAATCAATATTGACAAAACACAAAGAAACCCCAACATTATTACTAGTTTTATTCATGAAAGCAATTATTCCAAATAGAAGAAACAAGGAAATATCCTACCTAGATTATTTATATAGGTTAAAAGGCTACTCGTTTTCACGAGGTTGAAAACTGTTGTGCAAATGGCTATCCACCATAATGAAATCAAGCTTTATGGAAAGTTTTCATGTACACTGCTTGTAAAAGCTTTTTGTGCATAACCATGGTCAGATCTAAATGTCGTAACCATACTTTTACACTTCAATATGCCCTTCATGGAAAAAATGTTTGACAAAAACTTTGGTGGTGTTGGAATGATAACATTTATTGTTATTCTTTGTCTAGTTGAGATTTGTAAGATGCGTATCCTTTCTAGGTACATGTATTGAGTAAATTCATGTACTTTCTCTTTGAACATGAATCATTTTAGGGGAGGTGTATTTATAATAAATATTGATACATTGTTTTAGAATCTATCAAAGGTTATATACCGTGCACATTTTATACAAGTCAATCCAAGAAATGAAGTAAATTGTTAGCTCGGGTCCTGGCTTCTCTCTCCAAATATTTATTGCATCTTAGAGTTCCCAACATGTTGTTCTTCTGGTAATTTTTTTTTATTGAAAACCCTAGTTTCTTTGAAACCACACATGGCAAAATTCTTGTTTTCCGAGAGAAAAATCGAGACGTGTTAGCCCAAGGCATTTTGTTTTTATCTTAATTGTATTCTTATCACTTTTATTCAAGGTTCTAAAACACATAATGCATGGCAATGAATTTCAATCGAGTATCAATCATTACAAGCATATGCATAATTATATGTTTTCCAATTTTTAATATTTTAAACTAATAAATAAATAAAATAATGTATTCTTTGAGCTGTATACATGTTCTTTAAGTTTTCAACAAAAAACATATTGTTCAAAATCATAAATACTACAATTATTTGGTAATCAATTCCTACGATAACATTAGACACGAACATCGACTTAAAAAACTCTAAATCTTGTCTATCTCATCGGATTCTAGTTCAATTTTCTCTTCTTTATCTAAATCATATTCCGTGTCATTCGATGTAAAATTATCTTTATAGGACTCCTTTATTTCAGCTTGAGAATTTCTATTAACTTTTGTAGATGGTAAAATATCATTTTCAACCTCCTCTTCATTATCACAACCATCAACACATAAAAAAAATATATGTTATTAACTTCACTTGCTAGTAAAATTAGAGGTTGACCGAAGAAGAAGGAGGTTCAGGCTCGACAAAGATAGTCTGCAACTCTACGAAATATTTATTTTGATTTTTTTGAACGTCGAAACCTATAGATTATTGTATATAATTTATGGGCTTTAGATAGTTCGGACTAAGTTAATGTTTGCTGGGTTCAATATTCCTTTTTTTTTTTTAAGTAATAAAAATGGGCTGGATTTTGCAAAGCTAATTTTGACACAATTTTAACACAAATGCGTACGCATTTTGACGTTCAAGCATTTATATGTCGTCAACAAAATGGGTCGATCAGATTATCACGCGCATACACCATATGAGGGGCGTTTCGAAAATGTATCGAACATATGCGGATATATGTGAAGCATATACATGCAATTTAGAATATTGCTTTTATTCAAGGGAAATTATAAAAAATCAGGGGTTTAAAGTTTACTTTTTAAAAATCAGGTGCAAAGTTCGTTTAATAAAAAATCAGGTAATATATTAAAACATAACTCTAATCCCAAACAAAACCTAAATCATTTCTATTATATTCCTCCTCTTCATTCTCGTCTCCCTC